TTGTGTTTGTCTAGGTTGCACCTTTGTTGGTGACTTAGCTCCACCCTTTTCACCTGTGCTCCGTCTCTTCACTTGCTGTTGTTGGTAACACCCTCCTTTTCTGTAGTGCTAAAAAATTTTTTTTTTTACGGCCAAAGGGTTTATTACAGTGCCAAGCCATTTCTACATTTCACAGAGTATCATTTACAGCTGTCAAACCCTGTGAAATTACACTACATCCAGTGAAATGCTCAGACCCTGCCGTTATCTCTACTTGTGTTAAACTAATCTCATCGATAATATTCAGTTTATGTGACATTTTCTTCTTCCTGAATCTAGCCTAACCAAAACCTGATTATCCAGCTCCTCAAGTTTCTCTAGGATGTTCAGACATCCAGGCACGACTCCTGACTCAATCAGTGGCCATTAAAAACAGTAGAAGAGGGCGTGCAGGTTTACCTTTCATCCAGTGTTTATGGGTTAGAATGAAAACGGTTTCATCAGCACTTGCATTCAGTGTCTGACAGCTGATGGTTTTAAGTTGAAGGACTTCAAATAGTCCATAGTAAGATTGCACCATTCAACATTCAGTTGCATCAAAAACCAGTTAAAATCGGTTAATCAGCAAGCCATAAATAAAAAGTAATCAAATAGACATTACAAAGGCAAATTTTTAAACAAGTCTTTACCGGCTAAAACTACAGAGACCATGCTAATTGTTTATATCTAACACAGAATAATATTTGAAGGTGTACACTTATTATCAGACATGGACTTCATATTTTACACCTTAGGTAAATAAAGTAAATTATTATTTTTTTAATTATAAAAATTTATATTTTCTGGTAGTGTTAGGGTGTGGGTTAGGTTATAGTATTTATAACTAGCTGTATATAGGAGCAGATATAGAAAATTATTAATAGGATGGCATGAGGTGTGGCAGCAGCACTATAGCAAGTGTCCATGTGTAGTTCATGTGGTTTTCTGGTCTGTTATACACATTTGTGCTCACGAATGTGCAGAACAGTTGCATTACCATGAAGTAATCTGTAATGTTTAAAAACAATCAAAAATAACTATTAAAATTTAAATATCCAGGGCACCAAGACATTGGCTATTAAATCAACATATTCTAAATGTCTCTGAGCTTGTAAGAGTAGGTCTATCATTAATGCATACAGAGGACAAGTTTCCCCCACAACTGAATCCTGCATAACGTTCTCTCAAGAGTCCGGAAACTAAGCTTTATGTTGTGTGATTCCTCCAATAAAATTAAGATTTATCTATTAGTGAAACCGCGCCAAAAATAATCCTCTATAATATTTTCCATTTTTAGGCTATAGAATATGCAATCCTACCGTCTTTGACACTACGGTGAAGGTCAATCTCAGTAACAGGAAACTAATATCTCGCAATTCAGACTTTTTTTCTCAGAATTGCGACTTTATTTCTCAGAATTGCGAGTTTATATCTCGCAATTCTGACTTTATACTTTAAACTCGCAATTTCGAGTTTGTATCACGCAATTGGGCGGAAACGGGCTTCCATAATATACAGTATGTTAGGCCTATTTATTTAGATAAATGGAACATAAGATGGCTTTGACCTGTAATTACTGTACAGTGTAGTGATGCAGTTAGGCAGACTAGGATAGAAATCAGACAAATATCCCATTCCGAAAAAATTCTAGCATAAACTTAAAGTTCCATCTTTGATTGTTGAAAGTGCATTTCACTTACAGCCAATACAATTTCCAGTAGGATTTTCATCGACTTTAAACTCGCAATTTCGAGTTTGTATCACGCAATTGTGAGAAAAAAATACATAATTGTGAGTTTGTATCACGCATTTGTGAGAAAAAAAGTCAGAATTGTGAGATAAAAAGTCGCAATAATATATATATATATATATTTGAAAGTGCATTTCACTTACAGCCAATACAATTTCCAGTAGGATTTTCATCGGTCAGGGGTGGATCTATTCAGTTACAGTTTAATCCAGGAGCAAAGAGACATAATTTCTACTTTAAAAGCACGGAGAGATCGCGATTGCACAGTCTGTGTGCGCACAAGCAATATCGGAGTGAGAGGACAGGCAGTTAGTTCATTTGTACAAGTTAGGCCTATTTGAGAGCTCGCATCCAGTTTTCTGCGATTACATGACTGTGTTCTCATGTTACAATAAAGCTCTCGCCTCATTTGCGCGGGAATGATTAAGATTATGCGGAATACCTGCAATCCCGCGCGGACATTCAAACTCTGTAACTGACAGGAGACGATGCGTGTCAAACTCACTGTCGGAGAGGAGAGAGAGAGACGCAGCTTGTATCGGTGTATATTCGGTAGATACTGTGGAAAACGAGTAATGGAACCGTGTCAGATATTTCAGTATCTTTATCAAAATATAGATATTTATGATAACACTACCATGTAGTTTGTTTCTCCAAACTTTGAGTCCATAAATTACGCTCACAGTCTGATCAGCTCTTCAGAACCTGTTGCAGTGGTATGGAATCATTTTTGTTTCTTTATTATTCAATCAAACAGTATGTGTTTGAGAGTAAAACTAATTATTTTGTAATTAAAAAATAAAAGATTGCAAAAAAAAGTCTTCTTAAGGCTCAAAAATAAAGAAATTGATAACAAACTTATTTTCAGTGCGTATAAATCTTTGAAAATCTTTGTTTTTCTTTGTGCACTTCAAACACTTTTCATCGTGATACCACAAATGTCACTCTTTTCTGCAGTCTTTTTTTGCAGGTCTAAAACTTTTGTTTGCAAGTTGAAAAGTTTTGCTTGCGAGTGAAGCTGTCTCTCAGTGGGCGGTCTCTACCCACCAGGATGAAAGGCCTTTTTCTATTGGTCACTCTCGATTGAAGTCACAGGTTGACCACGCCCACTACGTTTCCCCGGAATCCCCGCCACTGCTGCAGCAGTCTGACAGAAGAGCGAGCGAGGTTGTATCATGGCGAGCAACAGGTCATGTACTGGGTAAGATAACTAAAGCCTTGTCCAAATACCCACACTTGCGGTCTTTGCACTTGACCACTTGACTACTTATATGACGTATTTCCTGTATTTGGCCCAAGTGTTCAAGTGAGCATGAAGACCAC